CTCACCCCGTGAGGGCCGGCCACTGAGGGGCCTGGTGGGGAGTGGCCGAGCGAGTGGGGTCCACAGGTGGGAGTGCTGCCCCGCAGCCCTCGGGGTCGTGAGAGGCGGTGCCAGGCTTGGTGGACCTGCAGCCTCCATTCTGTCCTCTGCGTGCAGGACGTGGTGAACACGCACCCCGGCCTGTCCTTCCTCAAGGAGGCGTCCGAGTTCCACTCCCGCTACATCACCACCGTGAGTCCCAGCGCCAGCGGCCCCCCTCGCCGGGGCCAGTGTTGGGAGGGCAGCTGCGGGGTGACCAGGGCTCCCGCAGGCTTTCGGCCCCGCCCCTGCTGCCACCGCCACCGCCACCAAGTCGAGTCAGACCTGTCGATCACGAGCTTGTGGGCCAGGCACCAGCGCTGCCACCCCTGAGGGACAGCGCGTGGCCTCATGACACTGGAGCACCTGAATGCAGCGTCCGCTGGCCTTGGGCTTCTGGGTTGTGACAGTGCTCATGTGACCTGCGGCGCTTGTCCTGGGGCCATGGTGGCAGGGACATGTCTGCCCCCGGGGGTCGTGGGTGGGGCAGAGTGGACTCCTCGGAGCGCTGCCCTCCTTGCATCTGGTGGGCTCAGCTGACCCTGCTGCCCACTCGTGGGGCTGTGGGTCTGCACTGCCCATGAGCAGAGCTGCCGGGTTTCCAGAGACGGCCTGCGGCTCGGGGCGTGAGGTCTGGGGCAAGAGACGTCCCAGCGCCAGGGTGGGGGTGAGCAGGGGGCACGTCCTGGGGTACACCTCTGCCCTGGGGCAGAGCTAGCCCCGTCTGCAGGTGGCTGGCTGTGCCACGTGGGAGGGAGGGCACTGCCACCGCTTGAGCCTCGTCACGGTGCCGGGCTGTTTGTGGAAGTCTCCCGCAGGTTCTCAACCCAGGCTCACCCTGCACTGTCCGCAGCTCTGTCATCCCTGTCCTGGCCCCCAGCTCACCTCTCCTGGCCGTGAGCAGCTCCGACGCAGCCCTGGGCCTGGAGAGCCCTCCTCATCCCTCCCTGCAGCCAGGGCAGGACTCCATGCCTGTCCAGCACAGCAGGGCGCTGCCCTTATGCAGCTGGGGCCTGTGGTGGTTTTGAAAGGCCCCGCCTGACTTGTGGGGGGCGGGCGCCCTCTGCTGGTGATGGAGCGCTGCGCAGGCCCCCTCCTGACCTGCTCGTGCTGTGCTGAGGGTCCTCCTCCTGCAGGTCATCCAGAGGATATTCTACACCGTCAACAGGTCCTGGACTGGGAGGATCACCTGCACGGAGCTCCGGAGAAGCACCTTCCTGCAGGTGCGCCCAGGGGAGGCGGGCCCCGGCACAGAGGACCCTCAGGCCACCCAGCACCAGGTCCCATCAGGGGACACAGAGTCTCCAGCATGACCAGCCTGTCCTCAGCATGGCCTGACATGTGTGCCTGCCCCGCGCCTTGGCCTCCCTCCAGACTTCCTACGCTCACCCCCGAGGAAGCTGCCGTCTCTCTGCAGCCGCCCCTTCCTCAGAGCAGAGCCCGTCCCCTAGACACAAGAGGCTCCGGGCCCTTTTTCAGGAGCTCTACCAAGCCATTTCTCCTTCTTCAGGAGGCCCCTCCTCCCACCCGCTGCTCCATCTTCAGCAGGCCCCTCCCACCCACTGCTCCATCTTCAGGAGGCCCCTCCCACCCGCTGCTCCTTCATCAGCAGGCCCCTCCCACTCACCCAACATCTCCAGGAGGCCCCCCCCACTCATCCAGCATCTTCAGGAGGCCCCACCCACTCCAACATCTTCAAGAGGCCCCTCCCACCCACCTCATCTTTGGGAGGCTCCTCCCACTCACTGCTCCATCTTCAGAAGGCCCCTCCCACCCACTGCTCCATCCCCCCACTCACTGCTCCATCTTCAGGAGACCCCTCCCACTTACTGCTCCATCTTCAGGAGGCCCCTCCCTCCCACTGCTCCATCTTCAGGAGACCCCTCCCACCCACTGCTCCATCTTCAGGAGGCCCCTCCCACCCACCTCATCTTTGGGAGGCTCCTCCCACTCACTGCTCCACCTTCAGGAGGCTCCTCCCACCCTGCAGGCTCCTCCCCTCAGGACCTGCTCAGCCGCTTCCTGGTCCTTTGCAGAACGTGGCCCTGCTGGAGGAGGAGGCGGACATCAACCAGCTGACGGAGTACTTCTCCTACGAGCACTTCTACGTCATCTACTGCAAGTTCTGGGAGCTGGACACAGACCACGACCTCCTCATCGACGCGCAGGACCTGGCCCGACACAATGACCACGGTGAGCCTGGCTGCAGGACGTGGGGCAGGGCACTGTGCAGGTGACAGCGCACACTGCTCGGGGAGCCGGCGTCCCCCTGGCCCTGCCCTCCTGGCCTCTCCCTGCCTGCGGGCTCCTTGCCTGCTGTCCTGACCAGGACACTGCCTCTGTCGCTGAGGTGCTGTCGGGACACGGGGTCCCTGTGTAGGAGGGCCACCCTGCAGGACGTGGGTGGAGCGGGCATCCTCGGCCTTCGGCCTGCCCTCACCGTCCCTGTCCCCTGCCTGCTCAGGCGTCAGTGTCTCTGGTCCATCCCCAGTGGCCCCAGCCCTTCGCCCCGTCTCTAGTGGCCAGACCTCTGACCCAGCTCACTGGCCACGCGTCCTGCATCCTGGTCACTGCTCGGCCCGCCCCAGTCCCGTGGTTTGTCTCCGAGGAACCTCAGGTCAGGGTTCCAGGGCAGAGCCGGCCTGGGTGCTGCGCCTCCCAGCTGCCCTGCTCGAGCTCCTGTGGCTGCCCAGGCCAGGACACCTGCTCTCCAGTGGTCACCTACTCTCCTGCCCACCCTGTGGAGTCCTGCTCTGCAGGTGGACCCTGTCTGTCTAGGATGGAATTTCAGGCAGGCGCTTGCTTACCCGGGGTGGCCTCCTCACCCAGGAGACGTGCGTCCAGCAGGGGACGGACGCTGTCTCTCAGGCCCTGCCCTGTGACTTCAGTTCCCGCTGCCCCTTGCCCCCTGAGGTTGCTGTCCCAGATCCAAAGCGCCTGTGGACAGTGCCCTCTCCCTGAGGCTGCTGCAGAGGGTCACCTAGAACTGCTCCCCTTCACAGTCATCAGAGCCTCAGGTAGGGACACTGCTGACCACCAGGTGAGCAGGTCACCTCCCCTTCCTAGTGATCAGAGCCTCAGGT